CCAGGCCCTCTTCACCACAAACCCCGTCTTAGTCCGGATCCTCATGTTTGCGATCGCCTGTGAATGCGCTTACTTTCTCACCACTCTCTCTGTCAGTGCATCCCTACTGTCCAATACGGTATGTCTTTGCCTTACAATTCACTTCATTCCTCACAAATTCAACACAAGTTACTCTCAGATTTAATTCATATTTTAGTTATATATATAATATTTACTTGAATAAAAAACTGCAAAGTATTGGATATTATATTGACAAATTAATTATATTTAGGATTACAAAGATACATGTATAATATTAACATTTAGTTTTATTTTATATTGTTAATTGATTGTACAGATAAGTTATACTAAAAATAGTTCAAATAATGGTTAATTAATAATATTCTAATTTTAGTAAATTAGATTGCTCGATACACTTGTTTGCACTAATAGTAAACTTAAATTGCATACTGTACTTGTACTTGTTTAATTGAAATAAAGTTAAAGCTATAGTAGATTTAAATTATGTAGATTGATAATATAAAACGATATTCCATTTTAAAACACCTAAAATGCTCGTACATGTTCATATTACGTGCACTATTCAACTAAAAATGAGAAATCAATATTTAATTAAATAAGATCTTGTTGTGAACTACAGGCACACGCGCCTTACCAGAGACTAATTCGAGTGACATTCGATAAATACCCTGTTGAGTTGCAGATTCAGGTATTTGTATTCTTAACTCAGATTTAATCTTTCAATTAATACACGTTTGGATTTGTGTGGCATTCAGTTGCGAATGTTTATCCAACGCCTATCGGGCCCTACAATTGGTTTCTATTGTTTGGACTTATTTGAGATCACATACACCACATACGCGAGTGTTTGTTGCCTTAAATATATACTTATTTTCAATGATAGTTAACAAAATACTACTTTAAATGTTGTTTATAATTAATGACATGTTATGAGCAGATTGTGGCGGCTTTGGGACAGAACTTCCTGCTGATCGTGGACTTCGTGCGCTCGTATGCCGAAGTTGGCCGCGAAGACGACAACATACAGTACGCCTTCTCGCAGCTCACGGACGTGGTCTTCAACACAACCCTATCGGCCATCAGTTTGGTTGGATTCACGGAAAGTACTCACCCATCAGATCACCACAACTACACCTTATAACACATTTGCCATCATTTCCCAAAAGTCATACTATATTTTCATATCAAATTCTAAACAAGTACTTTTT